GAAGTGCACGCAGCCGCCCAGCGTCCCCACCGCTGCGGAGAGGGAGGACGGAGAGCAGGCCAGGGTTGTCGTCTGTTCGGGACACACCCGGGCGCGGAGTCAGCTATGCTGCGCTCCACAGGCCCAGTGGGCTGGGTCGTCCGGGCCGCTGCATTTGACAGGCATGGGCCCGGGCCACCCGGAGGGCACACACATGCGTACACACGGGCGCAAGCGCACACACAGACACAAGCATGCACACAAACTGACGCACACACCAGCACTGTGCACGCACTCATACACACAGGCACACGCACGCACACGGGCACAAGTGCACAGACGCACAAGCGTGCACACAAGCACATGAACTCACACACGCACAAGCACTGTGCATGCACATGTACACTTTTTGGAAAAGCCTGAATGACAGGAGTGGTACACACTGCAAATTATAAACTCAACCCTCAGCAGTCACAGGGATCTGTACATACATCTAATTATTTAATCCTAAAATGACAGAAATAAGGTTTAAAGTTTTAACGATTGCATTACTTTATCCTTAGATGATGATGAAATGACTATGCCAGTCACTTTTACAAAACAGACTATTATACAGTAAGAAATTGAACAGATTCCTGGTATCTTTTGGACATTTTTGTAAGATGCTGCGATTTTTAATACCAGCATTTCTCTTCTGAGACATGGTGAATCTTGGGGTGACTGAGAGGGACTGGAGATAACTTTGCCACTGGACTATACATTAAAAACAAAACCAAAAATCCATCCCAGATCCCTTTTGTCTGACATTTACACAGAACGGGATGTCCGAGAAGTACATTTACTCCCATAATACTTAAGAAATCAGGTTCCTTCCCCTCAGGTTATTCTTTGTAGATTATCTTGAGGACAGGCATGGAATGCTAGGGCTGGAAAAGAACATGACATGTGTCTTTCTGAGACTGGCTTATTTTGTTTAACATGATGACCTCCAGTCCCATCTGTTTTCCTGCAAATACTACTTTTCAACAGAAAGCCTTTGTGGGACCTCTCAGGGTGTGATATGTGTGCTGTGTTCCCCAAATAATTCATTTCAGGCTAATAGTGGGCTAGTCCACACAAGAAACAGCAATGGCCAGAGGAGGTAATGGAGGCAGGCTGCCTGTGTCCAGGTGTCTAGCCATGGGCTGCTAGGCTGGGCTCCCTGAGGACCACTGCCTAAAGAGTTCACAGGAAACACAGGGCACAGGCAGGGAGCTTGCCCGCTAACTAGACCTGCGGGGCCATGGTTTCCTCCAGCAGGGAAAGGCCCACGTCTTCCCCAGCTGAACCGTGTGAGTGTACCCTGCTGGCTCAGCACTCAGGGAAGGTTGGCGGAGGCCTTCAGAGGGTGTATAGATCTCTCTTGGACAAAAGGAATGAGGTAAGTCCTGGTTTATAGGCCCTTGGGTGCTGTGAAACATTTGGATGTATGCCATGTGCAGAAAGAGATGTGAATCAGATGAACTTGTCAGGTCTCCTCTGTGCGGTGGACTAATGGGCAACTTGGATGCCCAGCTGAACTGAATCAACGTGGTTCAGGGTGTGGAGGGCCCAACCTGAGGACTGTTGCCTAAGGCATAAAAAGGGAACTGGAAGGGATGATTGTGGGCTGTTGATTTTCATGGAGAAGCTTGCTTCAGTTGGTTTTTCAGATGCAAATGGAGCTGTTCTTTTTGGAAGAGGAGCTCAGGGCCTCACTGTTGTTGGGTATGACTGCTGTTTTTGTCAGGGGAGCTCTGATCTTCACCATGAGTGTCACTTCCTGGCTGGGAAATGGATCCCTCAGCACTGGCTTTCTAGCTTCCACCACTGCCCTCTGGGCCTTCCCAGCGCAGATTCTGGATATGGACTTGCATGAGACATTGCCACGAGTTCAAGGGCTCCCCTGGATTAGGGGAGGATGCAGGCGGATGTGTGTGGGCATTACCATGGGATCCAGGCCCTCAGCTGGATTCTTCAGGTCTCTAACACATGGACAGACCTCTTGCTCTCCTCTGCATCTGACTTTTTGGGTGAATATTATAAAAATAATCTTATAAATTATGTGCCCTGTATTAAATCTCTTCCCTTGCAAGCCCTGACTACAACTTTAGAAAAGTTAGATTTAGAAATCCTAAAAGAATGTATACATATAAGCTTTTGTCACAGAGATTATGGAGTCTTCTTATATTCAGTCTTTTAGCCAAGAAGTTTTACTTTGGGGGAAGAGTTTCATTTACCTAATCGCATGGTGTATCATTTGCATCTTATAATATTCTTAGACAAGGAATGATACTTAGTCTTTTATAACAGATTTTAATTTTATAAAGGGGAAGGAGTGTAATTTACCTGCTACTAAGATCCATAGCTCATCTAGAACTGTGCAATGTAGCCCATGATGTTAAGTAATAGAAAAAAGCCAAGCATTGCCACTGTTTCTTGGTCCTTTTCTAAGCTTCACTGTATACAAAATGCACCGTGAACAAGACAGAAGCAATGGCATCCCAGCGAGGAAGGTGTCACGGCGGCACCTCACTGCCCTGCTGAATATGCAATGAGAAACAACCTTCCCATTTCCAGGCTTGAGGGGACTGGACCTGACTCATTTCCAGGTCTGAGCTCATGCCAATTAGCATATGTCACCCCTGTCCACAGTGAGTTGTTCATGAGTGGTATTAAGACATGAGAAGGCATGTACTGAGCTTTCTAGAAAGTAGAATCTTTTCCTTTTCCTGCTGTCAGAAGCTTCTCTGCAATGTGATGCCAGGCTGGCACAGCTGGCACCTGGATGCCAGGACATGAGGCCCAAAATGAGACTAAAGCCACTGAGTAGAAACAGAAAAACTGGGTTCCTGCTGGACTGAGGTGCACGTGAGGCCAGACAAGTTCTGTACTTGATTGTTGACTGGCCCAATAATCTCCTACTTTTAAATTGTTTACTTAGTCTGGTTGGAGTAGCAATTTTCTTTCATTTCTAATTGATCTTCTTGCAAAGTGGGATCATTTAACTGTTACAGTCCAGGAGCTGTTTCATTGCTGAGCAAAAGCAACAGCCCTCCTGCCTGCTCTTCTCCCAGCCTGCCCTTCTCCCAGCCTGCCTCCCTGAGTGCCAGTGTGCAACAGAGACCCCTGTCTGTCCACAAGAAACACATCATGTGAGTGAGACAGAGATCTCTCAGATGCCACCACTGAGGAATGCGCCCTGGCTTGTGCATACACTGATACAGTATATCACGTCCTGCTGTGTGGGCTGCACACACACACCGCACACAGGGCTCACTCTGCATGTATCAGGTAAAAACCTGTCAGCCTTCTGTAGCAAGTGTTTTCACAGACTACTGAGATGGAAAGTATGGAAAGGTAAACTGGGTTAGAATTCAATGTGTTTTAAAAACCCACTTAACAGGCACTTACTGTGGTATTCAGATAAATCTTGCTTGCACAAGTGCAGTCCTCCAGCCACCAGATACAAACTTCCCCTGAAAGTGTGATTGTCTGTAAAAGAAAGAAGGCTAAAGTTCCAAGTGGAAAGTAAGACTCTGCTGGGAAACACATTCTAAAATACAATCCAGTATGTCAATCTGAGGCATTAGTAAAAACATCCCATTCTACTTACGTAGATTATAAATTATTATTTCAATATCAGTACTTTCTTTCCAAATATATAATAATATTTAAGGATTTATGACAAATGTATTATGTCTAGTTGAATTTAATACTTTTATTAGCCTATAAAAGATATTATCTCCTACATTAAAATGGTATTGATCTCATTTTTTAAAAATATTTTTGTTTCTTTCACATAAAAATAAATAATATTTTAATGCAATTTAAGTAGAACATATAACTTAGATTACAAAAGTGAAATAAAAAAATTTCTATACAACATATTTAAGATAAAAATGACTTGGAAATTCAATGAGATTATTGCCTATTTTAGCTTTCTTGTTGCTGGGACAAAATATCAGTCACCAGGGACTCAAGGAGAAGAAGTTTATTTTTGGCTCAGGGTCTTAGAGGTTTCAGTCCATGGTCTGCTGGCTCCAAGGCAAGAACACCATGCAGAATGGTTCACTTCCTGGAGGCCGGGAAGCAGAGCATAGGGGAGGAATGCCCACAAGAGACTCTGCAAAGCCATGTCCCCAGCCACTGCCTCCTCAACTGAGTTCTACTCCTAACAGCATGTTCTGCTATGAACATGTCTTTAGACAGTTTTAGGTTGATTGTATTCTCACTCTGTGCACAGCAAATATTTCATTTTCATCCATAGGTGATGTGGCCCTCATTCTAAAAGGAAGTAAATATTGAGTGTTTAACAGCCTGGCTTGCAAATCTTGGTTGGTGACGCATAGAAGATGGCTTCTAAGATCTCAAATGCGTTGGCTGCTTTCAGGAGATAACATTATGAAGTCACACTATGATGATGTCATTCCAATAGGGGAACAGTTTGATGATGGAAGCATTTGGTATCTGTTACTGTTTGGATATAAAAGGTCCCCCAAAAGTCTCCTGTGCTTAGAATGTAATGGGTTCAGTCGCTAAATGTGCTTTTAGGAGTTGGGGCCTGGTTGGAAGTGAGTCACGGGTGGTGTGACCTGGAGGGGTGCACATATTCTTATCCTTGGGCTCCTCTCTTCCCTCTCAGCTTCCCGGGAGCCTTGGAATGAGCAGGTTTCCTCTGCCCAGACCCTTCTACTATGACCTTTCTGCCTTGGAGCCAACTGACTAAGAACTGAAACCATGAGCCAGAATAAACCTTTCCTCCCTCAAGTCGTGGGTGTGGGTGTTTTGTCCCAGCAATGGGAAAGTACCCACAACAACATCTCTACATAACCCTCAAAGATACCCTGGTTTATGACTCCTCTGAGTAACTACTTTGAAAATAATGAAACACAACGTATTAACTATTGCTATTTTCTTATCATTGTGTTTTATTTTCTCATAAAATAAAAAGAAATGCTAAATCAGTGCTGTGCAAAAATAGATTCCATTAAGTGTTACAGAAAAACACTAAAAGACGAGAAAGATATCCTCTGCTTCTCACTTGCAGTACTTTGCACATGAAATTCAAAAGTCACCCAATGACATATGAGGAGGAATTTAAATTTGGAAGCATCACATTGTTAAATCCTGTTGCATTACGGTAACATATTCCTTACCATGAAGTGTTTGGTTCCAGGTGTGATGAAGTCAATTGCCTGAAACTTTCCATCACAAGCATCTAGGACTTTGTCTAAGGTTGGCTCCTCACCAAAAGTATAGATATAAACAGATCCCTGATAAATATAAGTGGGAGAACGGAGGTTAAAATTGCTTCATATTAGCTCAACAGATATTTATTCAATGCCTACTGTGAGTAAGGCACTGTGTGGGGACAGGTGGTGGAAAATCATAGACCTCAGTAAGGCTCTGACTTGAATTTAAAATCTAGAGCCATCATTTGCTTATTGATTGGCTGTTACATTCATTCATCGTTTAAAATAATAAATAGGATGGATCCCAGGCACTCATTTTTTAAATTACAAAACATAATAGCATTTTCCCCGATTTTAAAACTAATATATATTTATGTGGAAAATGTGGGAAACAAGAAAAGTTAAGAAAAAGTAAATTCTACTACATGCTAAACATAATGCTGGGCACTGATTAAAAATTTAAATAAGCCTCTTAGAAATTATGGCAGTATGGCCAAAGCTGTCACTTTATGACTTGTTTATCATTCTCAGCTCTTAAAGTCCCTTCTCAAAAAAGAAAACTCACCCTGTAATGTCTGCATCTTTGCCAAGCAGCTGTAATGTAATGTGGTCACACAGCAAAAAGAAGTCTGGTTTCAAGTGATCACAACTTCAAGGTAAGTTGAAATAAACATGAATATTTTTGTTCTTATTTGTCTGAATAAGACGACTCTGCCCTCAGGATACTTACATTCTACCAGGGAGCTCAGACAATAAATAATATACCCAAATGAAACACTGATCATTCTAAGAAAGGGAAAAAGTAGAGCACAAAAGGAGGATACTGCTTGCTGTAAAAATATTTTCACTGGGAATAGAATTCCAGATGGACTTTCTTCACTACACTGGGGGCTAGCAAACATTTTGTACGAGTGGAGAAATAGTAAATATGCTAGGCTTTGCGGACCATGTGGTCTGTGTCACAGCACAATGGTATCTTGGTTCAGGAATTTAATTCATTCCATGGTTCTAAAAAGATGGCCATGCTCATGGTCATGTGGGAGAGATAGCCATGGTTATGTTCATTACCTGATTCTGAACAAACAAACACAAGCAAATACAAAAACAGTACAAAATTTTGCCAAATATTTCTATTAGCAAACCAAATCATTTGCAAACAAAAGAGTTCTTCAACTGAGGTACCACTGTACTTAATGCTACCATTGTGGTGTGGCAGCAGCCATAGGCAATCCATAAATAGTAAGTGTGGCTGTGCTCTACTAAAACCTTGCTCTCAAAAACAACTAGCAGACTGGTTTGGGGCCCATAGGGCTATAGCTTGCTCACCACTATGTTAAACTGAAGACATTATTCCACTATTAATCTTATATACATTGTTATTACAGAGAAGTCAGCTTTTAGTCTAACTAAAATTCCTATGATGTAATTTGCCTTTTCTTTTTGACTGATTTTTTAAAATCTTTTTTTTTCCTCAATAATTTTACTTTGGGAAGTCTACATGTAGATATCATTTTACATATCCTGCTTGGAATTCACTGGACTTCTTGGATCTGTGAATTCATCTCTTTAATCAGGTCTGGAAAACTGTGAGCCAATATCTCTTGAAGTATTGTCTCTGCCTTATGTTCTCTCCTCTGTAGGATTCCAATTAGATATATGTTAGATCTTTTCAAGCTATTATTCATGCCTCTTATCGTCTCTTCTGTATTTTCTTCCCTTTTGCTTCTTTTGACTATATTCTTCATAACTTCTTCTGACCTATCTTCCAGTTCATTAATTCTCTCTTTGGCTATGTATAATCTTTGGTCAAATATATGCATTTAATTTTTGCTTTGTTAGTATATTTTTCAGTTTTAGAAGTTTTATTTGGTTCTTTTCCCCTTCTGTTCTAGTACTTTAAAAACTAGTTTCCTATTCTCCATAAGTATTTTAAGTTTATTATTTATTAAGTCATAGCAGAGTTGTTTTGACTGTAATTACCAGAAAAATTTGATATTATTTATACTTATATTTATTTTTATATTTCTGATATTATTTATATTTATATTTATATTTGATATTACCAGAAGTCTTTTGATATTTATATTAAAGTTTATTAAACTTATAATCTAAAATTATTGCCTAACAATATAAATGGCTGCTAATTTGACTCCTGAGGCCCGTTCTATTAATGATGAGTTTTCCTAACAATATAACAGTCATTTGTTTATACCCTGCATTTATTCCTCTTTGCTCTTCTCTTACAGAACTCATCATTTCCCTAGAGAATTACTGATGCCTCCAACATCAGTCTACTTTTGGATGGGCTGACCCTACCTAGGGCCCAAGGGTAGGCATGTCACTTAAGCCTGCCCAATTAGAATTTAGACTTTCCTTGACCACAGTGACTGATCCAGGGATAATACAGATGATCCAAGTTAGGACAATGAGTGTATATTCTAGAACATTTTTTCTAGCTGATAACTTTCTACTAAGGTTACCAAGAAGACAGAAATACAATCTGGAGCTTCAGGAGACTCTCAATACTACAAGGGGAGAGTCTTCAAGAAAATGGAGGAAGCAGTCAGGACACATAGAAAAAAGCCCTGGGGGTATCCTGGAAGCCCCTGGATTCAGATCCACTCCTCACTCTTTAAGTTACATGGACAAAAACAAACATTTCTTTGTCACTGGGCCTTTTAAATTGGGTATTTCTTCATTTGTAGCCAAAGGAATCCTGACTGTCAGAGAATCATTACGTAGCACTCACTGTTCTTCATGCTTGTCATGTACGGATGATAAAAATATTATCTGATAATTATATATCAAGAAATCACTCTTCACTGCACCTGCCTTGCAAGCTAAAGGACCTGAGTTAAATTTCCCATTCCACCCCACCCACCTCTGCCAAAAAAAAAAAAAAAAAAAAAAAAAAAAAAAAAAAAAAAAAACAAAGAAAAAAGAAACTGCTCTCTAACATACCTTGTCTGTCTGAATCAGCAGCGTCTTATAACCGGGAGAAAACATCAAATGTTCTACAGGCCTTTCAACTTCAAGAAAGTCCTCTATTCTGTAAGAACTTGAATCTTTAACAGTGAGAGAATACACGAAACCATCCTGTAGGCCGAGGTAAGTGTGGAACATCAGTCTTGGTCAGTGTACAGTACACTTTCCCGATCAGCTAAGTGAAGGCTTATGGGTAGTCATCTACTGATTATGTGGAAGCGCCATCTGGGTTTACATTATCTAGAACACACTGTCCTTTCACCTTTATTTAGACACTTTTAACCACGTCCTTTGGCCAGTCTTCAGTCGTATCTCTTTTGTGATACACTTTCAATGAACTTAAAATCTTACTGACCATTCCTTTCTTTCAGCATCTCTAGCCTCTATTTTCTCACCATATTTTCAACATACAGGAGTGGGGACAAATGAGGCTGTTTGTGCCATTTGTGTATAGCAGTTACCTTACTTCAAAAGACACTAGCCCTAGCCCTAAGTGTGTTCTTTCATCGTTATCACATGCATTTAATATCTCCCTAAATGACCCACAGGTAGGAACATGCCTTTTCTTATATATGTGGCCTCTTCTCCAGTTCCTCGCACAGTGGTAGAATGCTGCAAATGTCTAATAAAAATGGGTTGGCTGATTGATCGGCTATAAACAGGCTGAACTACTCTCAAGGGGAATCAAATTATTTTATATAATGAAGAGGCTCTGGACAAATGTATCCATCATTTTTCTAAAATGGACCCCAGTATAACAAAGGCATTTGTGAGATAGCTGGATTCAGATGCTTGAGACCTGGGAGGTGGCCTAGACACGCAGATTCTTTCTCCAAGCTCATTATCATTCTCCACTCCTCACCACAGCAAATGCTATGATCTTTTATTTTGAGCAAATTGAACCAAACACAGGTGAGGGTGGCCTCAAAGCGGATAAGAGTCACAAAAGCCATAAATCTGAACTGCATGTTGCGGAAAAATGAGTAGTCCACTGCATAGCTGGGGAGGGAACTTCAAGCTGAGTTTAGGTGCATCGGCCCCAGATGGCTTTTCGTTGGTGAGAATACATCTTTCACCCTGATATCTTTGCCTTACTTCCCTCAGGGCCCTGGAGAGTGGATTGTGGCAACAGAACAAACAAAGCTAACAATGGATTAGGGACAGCTTCATATAGGCGTGAGATTTTAGTATGGGTCAGTTATAAACCTTAGCATTGATTACAGTGGCAAAGGAACACATGCCCTGACTCTATGTCATACTTAATAGAGCTGTGTGTGCTAATAAATGGCAGTTAGACTTTAGGCCAACAGCCATGGGTCAGGCCTACCTCCTCTACTTACTGTCTGGTGACCTTGGAAAGACTTGGTTCTGTCGGTATGGGGAGGATACGGTTGTTGTGAGGACCAAAGAGGTCATACAAGTAAAGCACTTAGCATAGTGCCTAGCACAAAGTAAACACCAAGTGAACAGTGGGTGGGGCTGTGAACAACCATTCTAATGTCTGCAGTAATGATGTGATGCCTGTGTGCTGGAACGGTCCCATGCACAAGAGCCTGCGCCGAAGCTTAGACCACAGGTTCCAAATTCACAGCAGACACCTAATATATTATTGCAGAAGTGAATATGGAAACCTCTCAGATGCTTTTGCATGGGGGAAATGGCTTTTTAACCTTATTTTTGTTTATTTGCAATAAGATAGCTCTATGGTAGTTCACTGTACCACACTCTCTTCTTTTGTATAAAACTGAAATTCTTCATAATAAAAAATTTCATAATAGCATCCAAAGGGGAAACCATTTTAATTAATTATCTGAAGGAATATGGTATCCCAAAATATGACCCAGGTAGATGGCAGCAAATGGAAATTATATTTTGTCTTGAAAGCAATTAATTTTGAAAAATAGAATACATTACAATTCCAGAAGCAAGCACGCCTTCCTTTTGATAAACCATGGTGACTGGACTGAAAAGACGTGGTGCATCTTCTGGAAAAGAAAGAAAAAAAGCATAATGAAGGCAACATATAATTAAAAGTGCAACTTGACCATGAATGATAGAATTTGCTTAGTAATGACCACTCTGCATGTTACGGCACATAAATTTATGCACCGACAAATAAACTATAGTGGACGAAAAAAAAAGGTGAAAAGGAAAAAATGACCCATAAGAACATTTATCATTAATAAAGTATTGTTTTCGGAGGAAAACAACAAAAGTGTATTGCTTTTAAAAACCAAGGGCTCAGATGGGATCTGTCAAACACTTTGTGCTTAACAGTTAGCTAGCTGCTAAGAAGCATAATGGCCTTTCCCTCAAACACTACTCACCTCCCAGCAGCCCTTTCTTTTTCCATCCAGCTGTCACTAGAGTCCAGGTTCTTATGGCTACTGGCCTGGTGCAGGTGCTTGCATTCCTGAATGATGGCTACATTAGTCTGCCCAAGCACCACTTTCCAGCTGAGGTACAGCCCATGTTCCACCTACCCACAATCTCCCATAAGCTCCTCCTTCAAGAGCCAGTTCAAATGCAACCATCAAAATGACAGCATGCATGATTCCCCACCCCTGGGGCCCCTACAGTACTTTGTGAAGCTCTGAATGAAGGAAATCATATTATTCTTCATCTTTCTGGCTATAATTATTTGTCTACTTACTTTATGATCTTTAATAAAACCTGATCCTTTGAAGATGGAAGTTATGAGTCTATGTATTTGTCACTTAAGTATCCTCTACCGCACCTTGCTTTAGTGCCTTCTGCATTGCAGAGGCTTGATAATTAGGTATTTGAAAGCATTTATCATGGAAATCATAAGAAACAGCACACAGGAAGAAAATTATGAACAATATAAGACTGCATATGATTAAGTTCTAAATTATACAGAATATGGTAGAGGTATGATAGAATTTTGGAAATGAGAAGCATTGTTCTATAATTCATTTCACACATGCATGTAGGTGTCAGTTTATTCTGTAGTGACATCCAAGATTGCACCTTGGAATCAAGGAAGGAGCCAAAGAATGAAGTCTCTGAATGACTTCAGAGAGTGAGTGGCTAATGGGACAGATACACACAGGCCACTGTAATAGCACAGGGTGAGGCTCCCACAGAGGAGCGAGGCCTAGGACACTCCAGACAGGAGTGCCTGGAAGGTAGGCAAGGCTAGGGAGGGCTCCGCATGGGAGGAAAAGCTCAGCCAGTAGACCAGGAAAAGGGGGGCATCCTAGGAAAAAGTCACTACAGAAGCCAGCTGACAACTTGGAGAGCACACAGCAAGGATAAGGAATTGTGAAAGGTTCAAGCAGGAGGAACTAAAGCTGGAAAGACAGAGCTGCAAGAAGGTGACTGTGCACAGAGCTCCTAGGCCAGTGCTCCATATAACAGCTGAGAGAGGGCACAGTGAGACTGAGGGGCAGGATTTTACTAAGGGAGGAAGGGAGGGAGATAGATGAGAGAGAGAGAGAGAGAGAGAGCGAGCGCCATGTAGCTGAGGGGGAATGGCAGTGAGGGAGGAGTACTAGCTGGAGGAGAACAAATAGTGGGGGCAGTGCAAAACCAGGCTGATGGAGTCCCTAGATTGAATTAAGGATGGCTAGGTATTAAGGTAGCACTGAGTTGTGCATTAAAGATGATCTTCAAAAAAGGCAGTGTGGCAGAGACAAGCTGCCCAGTTTGAGTCAGACGTAGATCAAGATCAGGGCAGTAAGTCCTGAGATTGTTTCAGAAAGCACAGAGTGGAATGGTAAGAGCAGTTGGACAGGTCTGGGGCTGGCCCTGGTATGGCACTCTCCCAGAAGGGTCTGCACCCAGCTTCTGTGGGGTGGACATTGGCACCTATGGCCCAGGCCTCAACCTGGTCACAGCTGATGGGTCCCAGAATGAACACTAGATTTAAGGGAGAATATATCGGCGCTCTTTGAAACTGTTGCCGAGCAACACAAAGGTATTTGGTTAATCATGGAGAAAACATGTGAGAGGAGTGAGGGACAGGAGAGGGCACAATCATCTGACTGTGCAGAACAGGCATGTGTGTAGCAGGTGATACGGGTTAGCAGCTCACACTAGGATTCAGAGGTCTTACTGGATGGTCCAGGCGTCAGCTCCACAATTTGTGAATCTGAGCGATTCATAACCACATCTCCCTGTGTCATGGAGATGAAGATATATCTTCTTTAATGTTTTGAGGAGTGCATGAAATATGCATATAGTGGTAGCGGAACGACAGGAGCGTAATAACATCCAATCAATTGTAGCTAGGCCAAAAGAGTATCCACAGGGCTTGCTAAGTAACCAGAGAAGGAGAAGCCAAAGATGTCTCCAAGAAAGGGGAGAACAAGGAACAAAATCTCCATCTTTGAAGGATGTTAGCATATGCAAAACTAGCATGCGGGGCTCAGCCTCTGGGAACGTGAGGCAGAGCAGTTTCTTACCCAGCTGTTGTGCCTTTTCTATCTTCCGAAGCACAGTCACCTTCAAAGTTTCCCCACTAATCATTACGAGATGACCCTCTTCAGAGCCGACATACAGGTCACTAGTTGGAGTCCAACAGTGCATAGTGGGGTGAAGCAAAGGATACAGGTCATCTTTTGGCTGCAGAGAAAGAATAAAATTCTCCTATTAAGGCATCAGTCGAGATTAAGGGCCAGGGAAACACTTGCCAAAACAATTGCCCAAAATGGCTATGCTCATATATAAACTTCACTGGTTTTGTCATTTGCCAAGAGCTAAGTGAATTTTTTCTTTACTCCATTTTGCTCCCTATATTTTAATTCACTAAGAAAAAAAAAGTGTCCTGCTAACACATTCAGTTTTATTTGCACAGTTTCTCATAAAAGTTTATTCAGTTTTATTTGCACAGTTTCTCATAAAAGTTTTGGATCAGATTTTGTAAACTGTGTCTTAGTGGACTTTTTTGGTATCTTGGATCTAAGAAAATCATTGCTTAGCTAAAATCACCTTTTGGGGGAGATTTTCATCAGTGACCCCCTCTCCTCATGCTACAGTGGGTCATCCATGAGAGGCAGACTCAGTCCTCTGCTTAGTTGGCTTTCCTGGGGAATAAGAAGAGGACCGGTGGCCTGATTCTGTGGCCTTTCTAGTTGGGTTCATGAGACATCCTGTATGACTTTTAGTTCATGGAAAGAAAGAAAAAAAAAAAAAGTAACTGAAGAGACAGACCACAACAGAGAAAAAGGAAGGGACAACCAGCACTTTCTGCCTGGCTTCTGGCTTAAGCATGAGACAGGGAGACTGAATCTACTAAGAGAGAAAGCAGTGACTCCAGAAGCCTCTAAGAAGAAACACACCAGTGGAATCTGTGTGCCACAGTAGCTGGTGAGTGACTTTGGTTCAAGTGACTGCTGGGACACCATTTTAGGGAAGGACCAAGTGAGCCCAACACCCAGAGAAGCTGCAGGTCAGCTTCATCTCGGGGCTTGCAGTATTAACTCCCACAGTGACAAGAAACAAGATCCAACAATATGCTGCACACAAGAAACACATTTAACTCAGAACTACGAAAACAGAAGCACTTAATCTGCTGGAGGATAGACCAGGTAAAACTCTAGAAGACACCGGTGTAGGCAAAGACTTTATGGACAAAATCCTGATCATACAGGAAATATTACAAAGAATCAACAGCTAGAATCACATCAAATTAAAAAACTTTTGCACAACAAAAGAAAGAACTAGTAGAGTGAAGATATGACCCACAGGATGGGAAAATTTTTTACCAGGTACTCTCAGACAAAGGACTAATATCTAGAATATGAAAAGAATTCAGAAAAATCAGACCCCCACATTGAAAGACCTAACCCAAAATTGGGCATCTGAAATGAACGGCCATTTTTCAGATGAAGAAACACAAACAGCAAGTAAATACATGAAAAACTTTTCACACTTAACTTCAAGAAATGCAAATTAAAACATTGAGATTTCATCTCATTTCAGAAAAAAAAAAATGGCTATCATCAAAGAATCAACTAATAACAAATGCTGGTGAGGCTGCGGGGAGAAAGGAACCCTTCTCCATTGATGGTGGGAGTGGGAACTGGTGCGACCACTGTGGCAATCAGTATGGAGATTCCTCAAAAAGCTAAAACTAGAGGTTCCATTTGACCCAGCTCTTCCCCTTCCAGTCATTTTCCCGAAAGTGAAAAGCATCGCACCCTAGTCATATACGTGCACCCATGTTTATAGCACCATACGTTATAACAGCTAAATCTTGGAAACAGCCCATAACCCATCAACAGATGAATGGAGAAAGAAAATGTGGTATTTATATACAGTGATATTACTCTGCCTTAAAAAGGTTAAACGAGTCATCTCTAGGTAGATGCATGCATCTTGAGAACATAACTTTAAGTGAAGCAAATCAGACATACAAGTTTAAACATTGCATGGGTTCTCTGATGTGAGAAACTCAAAGGGTAAAAGGGTAGCAAAACGGAAGACAGATACAGGGAAGTAGGAAGAATATGTTCAAAAGGTAAGGGGAATGGGACAGTGGGGCGAAGGAAGGGAAAGGGGATATAAAAAAAAGAGCGGAAAGAGAAAACAGAAACGAAGCTTCTGTAAGTGGGGAGGGGAATAAGGGTGAAGGGGGAGGGAAGTGAAGAGAAAAGGGATGAAGGTATAACAGGTACAGGTATGAGTCTCCTATGAGGAACGTGAGCACTGTGTATGGCAAATAGGTAGCAATAAAAACGCTTTTAGAAAGAAAAATATTAAAATCTACAGCACGTTGCTAGGAGAAAAGCTGACTTTGGGGACTAAAAACAATATGGGCTGTGGCGTAATGAAATATTTATTTAGGTATCCTTATGCTCATTGGTACAGAAAGTGCTTTTATTAAGGTATGGACCAAATGAACAGGATTCTTCAATTCTTTAAGAGCTCCGTATTTATTCGGTTCTTTCCCTCAGTATTCAGTCATCTGACACATGCCTTTTACACACCTGGCACATTCCTGGCACTGTTCTAGGCACAGGGAGAGAGCAGTGACACAGACCAAAATAGCAGCTTACCTCCTGGTGAGGGGAATCAGCGAAAGTGAGCTACATATATAGCATGCTATATGCTGGAGAGTACTGGGAAGAAAAACAAACCAGGGTAAGCTGGGATAGGTTTCACAGCTGGGGAATATTTTTAAACTGTATGAGCAGCCATTTTTCTGTTCAAAGCCCCCTGATGTGCACTAGCCTTCCTCCTAAGAAACACTCAGTTGGAATAATATCTATGGCTCTTTTCATTTATGAAAGGTTTGTAGATTCAAGGTAGTGGCAAAGTGGCATCGCAAAGGAGCTATTTCTATCATATTCTCAACTGATGGAAACTTGTGCGATCGATAGTTCAATAAATACATACTGGGTATTGGCTATAACCAGGCATTGTGCCAAGTCCAGAGGGAACCCTTCTTCTCAATAGGATGATCGCCTATGGGGGAAAGGAGCAGTGGTAACCAGGAGAGACAGTGGGCGGCAGTGGGACATAGGCGCATGGAGGAAGAAACAGTGAGTCCTCCTCAGTGGGCAGAGGGAGAGCATGGAGTGCAGCTAAGGCTGCAAAATACCTAGGAGGATTCATCGTGACAAGCTTTTAGGGGATGTAGTGGCTTTAGTTCTATGATCAGTCTATTTCATTTCCTATTAGCATTGGTCAGTTAAGATGAATACTCAAAAGGATGCGTGGTCACCCAGTGAACTAAAAACAAAGGCGAAATTGGCCCCAAAGTACTAATCTGCTGCCAGTCAGTGACGTTTCTGTGGAGACCTAGATCGGACTCATACGGAAAAGTCACTCCTGGAATCGTCATGATTTCAGCTCTGTGAGGTGCTGATAGCAGTGATGGCAAACCTTTCAGAGATGAGTGCCCAAACTGCAACCTCCACCCCTGATTTATCTTCCAGTGCCAACACTGCAGCTAAACCTGGATACAGAGGTGAGTTTAGGAAAAGCGGCTCATACACTTGGCTTGCGTGCCAACAAGGCTCTGCGTGCCCACTGCAGCATGCATGGCATGGGTTCACCACAGATCGAAAAAGGACAAGACTCTTATCTGGTTGGGAATAGGATCAAACTCATTTTTTACAAAAGACCCATATCAGGGCCGGGCATGGTGGTGCACACCTGTAATCCCAGCACTCTGGAGGCTGAAGCAGGAGGATCGCTGTGAGTTCAAGACCAGCCTGGGCTACATAGTGAGTTCCAGGTCAGTCTCAAATACACAGTGAGACCCTGTCTCAAAAAACCAACAACAACAACAGCAGCAAAAAAAGACCCATATCAACCTGCTTCTCCTAAGGCCAGTGCATTTGTGTGCAAGAAACAGAATGTGAGAGTTAAAACTTAGAATTTTCTGGCCCTGATATGACATGTAGATTTTCTTTAAGATAATCTGGGCTTGTTATTTTTTTTTCATTAATGAATACATTTAGTGTCATTTAAAAAGGAATATGGCGTTATATGGATTATGAAAACATAATTTTCACTTATGAAAATTCTTAAGAGTTTTTTAAAAAGGCGCCAGTTGTGTTTCAAAATATTTGTCAATAATATATTTCTTTTTTAGCCCTCTAGGATCTTAAACATTTTGGAGTCCATCTTAATACTGCTTTAGAAAATATATTTTTCCACAATATGCTCTGGAATACTTGAGTTTATAAAAGAGATTCCTATTTAGCAACTTCTGTCTTTTTAAAAGAGGGTAGATGGAAAAGGAAATTGAACCCTTGAGGTTAAATTCGTTACCTCGGATCTGATTTCTGCCCGGATAACATTTGCCTTTGATTTTCCCCTGCAACTACTGGATACGTTTCTAATGCCCTACATAAGTGTGTAGTTTAAAGGCCTGTGGTGTACTATTAGCAACGAAAAAGAGAATTTAATGTTTGTAATCATGTAAAAGCCCACAGCTTGCCGATTTTTAAGACCCTTATTTAGGTCAAATCATTACTGATTTCTTTGTCATTGGTACCCAGGCTATAAGAAATTATATTCAAACGAGGAATGAAACCAAGACGTTTGCGATCTAGTTCTGGTTTGGTTTCATTTTTTGTACAAATATTAATCAGTGCTTAGCCTTTTCCCTCACCGTATTTAGTTATAAAATAAAAAAGGAAACTACTAGGAAGATGAACGTCTTAAGAACTTAAGGGCAAAGTGTCTTCATTAATATTCCCTGTATGATTTAGATTGGCCAAATTATAGTATTTCTGCTTTAAAAGGTTAAAATGCACTGAATTCAAAAGTCCTACAAACAGATATTGATTATGTGCCTTTTTCAAAATGGTAACTACACTGATACATTTAAAGAAGGTGTTTCCTAGAATTTTCCAAATGACCAGGACAATGCCTGAATTTTAAATGTTTTATGTAGGATTCGCCAAGCTGGTACAAAACATGAAAGATGAGGGCTTCCACAGAAATTTACTAAAGAAAAAAACCGATCTGAGAAGGTAGAATTGGGGGCGAGCTGGGCACTAACCACTGAACGTAGAAACCAGTGGGGAACCTTGGATGCGGATGTATTTGCTTCTACTTTGCTGCCCCCCTGTGGCGCAGCGCGGTGACACTCTCAAGGCGGAGATCTAGAAATTAGTCAACTGCCTAGTATGTTTGTTTTCACCTCCCTAGCTTGAAACAGGGAATTCTTGTCATTCCTTAGAGGAAATACGAAGGGTGTGAACCTTTTGCCTTGCCTGTCACAGAGGTTTTCTAATAAAACAATTCTCACACTGGATTCGTTTTAACACTCATAGCTTAATTCTTCGCTGTGGTCTGAGGCCTCTGGGACCGCCCGCCTCTTTATGTCGCGGTTGGCACGTGGTCCCGGGGCTGCTCTTCCCCTGCACCCCACAGGCCTCGCGCAAATCCTCCCTGGGCCCTGTCTCTGTCTTGGGCACCAACTCACTTACCGCTCTGCCCGCATTATCATGTTCCGGCCATACGGTCTTTTCTCAGTCCCTCAAACATGCCCTATTCGCTTTCTGCCCAGGGCTTTTACACATGCATTTCCCTCTGCCTAAAACACTACTCTGCTTGTAACAGAAGAAAGGCTCAGTGTGCTTCTAGTCTGCTTCAGTGGCATCTCTCTAGACACCGTGTGTGTGTGTGTGTGTGTGTGTGTGTGTGTGTGTTTGTGCTGTGTCACTGGGGATTGAAATCAGGACCTCTGCACTGAGCTACATCCCCAGGCCTTTTTTGTTTGTTTGTTTTTATTTAATTTTAAATTTTGAGACAGGGTCTCACTAAGACACTAAATTGCCTGGGTCAGGCTCAAACTCGCAATTCTTCTGCCTCAGCCTCCAGAGCCGTGACCATTGTACCTGGTGCCAGAGACCTTTCTTGACAAGTACATGGAAATCTCTTCCTGGCCACCCCTTCTTGTCCCTGTTTATCCTGTTACCATAGTGACCACAGGTGGCTGCCCTTTGATGTCTCTCTCTTTGTGCTGTCACTAGCACTGTCAGCCTGACAAGGAGGTGAACTCAGGAGCATCGGGCCTGGTGGCCACCTGGGGACCCCTTGCCTTCAACAAGGTCTGCTCTGTGGAGGGAGCGCGGCAGGTGAGGAGCCGTGATCGTGGACAAATCCCCTTTCGGGCTCCACCCCACTGGTTCCTACACTCCTCTCTCCTGCCTCTGCCCCTCCTGCCCAGCTGTGCCTTTTTACAACTTCTCCTCTCCTCACCCAGCAGTCTGTTTCCTCTCTGGCTCTTTTCTCTTCCTGCTTCCGTTTTCAGCTTGTTCCTCACACCGGCTCGGTGCTGCCATGATGCCAACATCAGTGTCTCCCTGACACTGGCTCCTCTTCCCTCCCTGTGCCCAGCTTCTCCACCTGGACACCTTCCTGGCACAACGTCCAAAGCTGAAGTCACATCTGGGCTCCCTGTTTCTGCTGTCATCTTCCCAGATGTCCACATTGAAAACTAGAGCCTTTGTCTCTTGCAGTCTCCGGGGTCCTACTCTACAATCTTCCCTATCCTGCACGCGCCGTGGCATGGTTGGACCTGAAAACCGAGACCCCCCTTCCCCAGACTACACCGTTAGGTGAGTGAGGTAGTCACCCTGAACGTCTCCGCCTCCTCGCCCACCAGACCAGCGACGGCTGACAGGGGCAGCACCGGCCCGTAGATGGGGTCCTTGGGCAGTGACTCCGGGAAAAGCACGTCGGCTTCATTAAAAGGCGACCCGTCTTCCAGAGGGAGTTTTACTGGCCTGCAGAAAAAGAAATGTCAGAACTAGAAGATCGGCAGAAACTCATCATTGATGTGTATTAGTGGTAAGTGAAGTGGGATGTGATCTACAAACACATGAGAAGACAGTGCATTGTCAACATGTAATATAGTATGTCATGAAAGGAGAAGTTATGCACTTATAATTTAAGCACGTAAGGGCTGACTGTCAAAATGTCCCCAAATTAAGATCTAAAGCAGGAATTATAAATACTGGTGGGGATTAGGCAGGGGACCTTATAACCAGCAGGAAAGTGTTTGTCCCTCAGTTCCAGCCAAAAGTGTTGGTGACATGTGACTGTTCGGGTTCCAAAGTCTTAAGAGATGCCATGAGCTGGATATGTATGAGAAATATCTCAAATTTTAAATACTGGCAACTAATTCAGACGAAAATCACTATGGCTAAAATAAACATATGCAGGTTGTTTTCAGCTACCTTTAAAACTTCTGACATCAAGAATTCATTTTCAGATTCACTTTAACTACACAATGTGGTTGTAAAAGGTAAATGTGGAGAATTCATGGCCTCGTGCTCAAAATTCAAAACTTTCTTGGTTATGTCCTATGAATGGTAAATAATTCTGAAAAATGATTGCCTAAACAGTGCGCCTGTTACTTACACAGAAAGTTTAAGTGTTTTCAAATCCTGCTCGGCTCATGAATCAGAACAACAATTCACTCATTGCATCTCTTAGTTTGCTGGCTTATAGGAAAATCACATAAATCCACATGCAGAGCTAGAGTTATAACACTAGCCAGGGGAGCAAAGGAAGGAAGGGTGTGATAAATTAACCACTGACCCTGGCAAGGATCTGATAGACACCCCAGAACTTCACCTGAGGCGATTTTTCAAAAACTGCAATTTCAAGGGTAGGCCTGCCCAGCCTCTCTCTGTCTTGACTGCATGGAGCAGTCTCTGAACCCACTCTCAGTACAGGACTCACTGGCATCTGCTACACCATGGCCACCACTTTGCTCCAGGGTCTCTCCTTGACTCATTTCATTCTAAACAGGCAACCTCCACCCTATGCAACTCTGTTGTCTGAGGACAGCGTGGTCCAGGATATACCGTGCGTGATCTGTACCCTTCCTGGATCCAACAGCTTCTTATTTTGGGGATTTCGGTAGGGAATCAAAGTTGTAGAGTCAGGCCAGGGATTTAGCTCAATGGTTCTACCACTTGCCTGGCAAGTGCAAGGACCTGAGTTCGATCCCCAGTACCAAAAAAAAAAAAAAAAAAAAAAAAAAAAAAAGTTGTAGGGTCAAAAGGCCATACATGTCCTGTTTATACAGCAGACATACTTTGGAATCAAAAGGACAAATCATATGTTACAAAACCAAGTCAAGTGGGAAAAGCTGTTAGAAGACTTAGTTCTTAAACTGATTGGGAAATCAAGTGGAAATGAATCTTTCTGAAACGCAATGACTCACTCCAAGGCAATGATGTGTGTAGAAAGATATTACCACTTATAAGAGTCTGAGGGGCCAAAGAGTTAGCTCAGTGGTTCCTCCACTTGCCTGGCAAGAAGAGCAAGGACCCAAGTTCGATCCCTGGTACCAAAAAAAAATGTGTGTGTGCATGCGCGTGTGCACGTGCATACACACACTTATACAGACCCTTCATTCATCATGTCAGCCCAATCACATTACGCAAACAGAAACAAAGACCACCACTTGGTCATTGGGCAGAAACAAAGCCTCCTACTTCGCTTTGAAATAATGCTCCTGGTCACTTCTTTCTATGGTCCACACTGTCACTGTGCTGGGGCTCGACAAGCACAGCTGGTGCCAGTTCATGGGGTTGAAAGACATCTGGCTCAAGTCCACTCCCGGCTGGGACTGCTTGCACAGGATGACACTCAATTCCCAGTTCCTGATAGGAGGACAGCATGGGAAGAAAGGTTAGTCCACGTAAGGTTCACGTCTAAGAACACGTATCGAATTGCTTTGTGACAATTCACAGAAACAAAATTTCTGATATAATTTATATAACCCATGACATTGCTTCAAAACTATAAATAACTATGCTTACCTAAATCTCCCTAAGGAACAAAATACTGCATATGTATATATTGTTTCAGTGCCTGGAACTGAAATCAGGACCTTGCATTTGCAAGACAGGCCCGGTGCCACTGAGCTACATTCCAGGCCCAGTATTTAAAAAATATCACAGTGTCACTGGCTGTGGTGGCGCAGGCCTGTAATCGGGATGCTTGGGAGGCTGAAGCAGAAGGCTCACTGTAAGTTCAAGGCCAGTCTGGGCTACAGAGTGAAATCAAGGCCAGCCTGAACTACAAAGTGAGACTGTTTAAATAAAAAGGGCTGGGGATTTGGCTCAGTGGTTCTGCCACCTGCCTCACAAACACAAGGACCTGAGTTCGATCCCCGGTACCCCAAAAAACAAACAAACAAATGTGTGTGTGTGTGTGTATGTGTGTGTGTGCGTCCTGTCATATGGGATATCAAAGGTATTTTTATTGAATATAATTCATTCAAACTTAGAAAATAGAACATTTGCTGAAAAACAAGTATAATATCTGAGTCTCTAAGTACTCCATGTGGTCCTCGGTATACTGTATTCATCCATGATAACTGATCATTTTGTTTTTAAAATGAAAATGTTAGCATTTTCAACTGACTCATTCACCTACCCATTGAAACAATATACTCTATGTGTACCACGAACAAAGTCCTTTCCTGGATGAATAGAAAGGAAAAAAAATGAATGTGAACTTTGTCCTCATATGAGGTGCTTGCAGCTATGTGACTGGCAAACAGGAGCTGATATGGACTGAACTTGTCTTTTTTTTTTTTTTCACTAGGAATTGAACTCAGGGCCTTATACTTGTCAAGTGGGTATGGCGACACTGAGCTACATTCCCGGCCCTGACTGAACTTGTCTTTCAGCTCCCTTATGCTCTGCCTGCCTTCCATCCCTGCCACAGAAGTTCAGTTCCGTCCTACCGGTCATTCTCTTGCTCATCTGTCTGGTTTCCTTGATCCTTTGACTGTCTGCTTCAGATACCTGGCCAAACCCATCTACTCTGCGCGGCTATGACTGAGGGCTGCTGGGAACGGGAGCGAGGATCTCAGGGTAGTGCACGCCAATGACCCTACAGATTCATGGGTCCCACCTGGCCGGATCCTCAATACAACTTCCAATCCTGCTGTTTCTGCCCTCTCTCCTTCTCTCTCTCCCTCCCGCCCCCCACCCCCACTCTAAGGCACCCATTTTTATCATTCTTCACACCCCTGAGTCCCCCCATCCTTTCACCTCCTCCTGCGTCTCAGTAAACAGTCTTGATTCCCACAAATGAATTACAGGTCGCCTGATGAGAACTCTCCCCAGCTCCTGTGATCAAGTTTAACCACCCACTAGAGTCTGGCTCCCCTCCCCTCCTCTTCTGTTACTGTGAAGGCCAATTTCACAACCTGTGCCCTGGATCCTACAGGTTTTGTTTTCCTAAGAACATGAGTTCATCCATGACCCTTCCTCTTCTACAGACCCTTCCTCTTGGTCTCCCTCCCTTTGGCAAAAGATCTACCTCCCTATTTCCTATTACCTGTCATTTATTTTGCTCTTTATTTAGATTTTGGGTTTCCTCACATAAGGTGAACCACGCAATATATAAGCTAGTGTGTCTCGTTTATTTCATCTAACATTGCAGTCTCTAGGTGCATCCATTGCCTACAAATGACTCAGTTTACCCTCCCTTATGACAAAATAATGGCATTGTGTATAAATGCCATTTTCTTTACCCATTCATCTGTTGGTGGACATAGGCTGATTCCAAGATTTAGCTATTATGAATTGTGCTGCTATAGACATGGGTATGAATCTATTGCCGTAACACGATGTCTTTAACTCTTTCAAAAGATACCTAGAAGAGAAATAGCTGGGTCAAATGGAATTTCTATTTTTGGTCTTTGAAGAAATCTGATTTCCAAATCGCTGTAAGAGCTTACACTCCCACCAACGGTGTAGAAGGATTCCTTTCTTTCCCCACACCTTTGCGATTTATTATTTGATTTCTTGATGATGGCCATTCTTTCTGGAGTAAAGTGGAATGTCACTGTTTTAATTTGCATTTCTTTAATGGTTAGCAATGTTGAACACTTTTTCATGTGCTATATTTATCAGCCACTTGTACTGCTTCCTTTGAACAATGTCAGTACATGTTCTGTTGCTATTTGACTGGGTCTTTTATTTGGGGGGGTTCTAATTTTTTGAGTTCTTTTTATGTTCAGATATCAGTCCTCTGTCTAAAGAATAGCTGGAAAATTTTTTGTCCCATTCTGTAGAGGTTGTTTCTTCACTCTGTTGGTTGTTTCCTTTCCTGTGCAGAAACTTTTTAATTTTTCTATGATCCCATTTGTTGGTTTCTGATATTATTTTTTGTGCACTTGGGGTTCTGTTCAGAAAGTTCTTACCTATGCCTATGTCTTCAAGTGTTTTACCTATTTTAGATGAAGTGTTTCTGTTTTAACATTAGATCTTTGATCTACTTTTACTTCAGTACATGGTGAGATACACGGGTCTAGACTCTTCTGTGTGTGCGTAGCCAGTTTTCCCAGAGCCACTTGCTAAAGAGGCCGTCTTTCCTCCATTGTGTGGTCATGGTCCCTTTGTCAAAGATCAGATGGTTGAATGTTCCTGGGAGGTTTCTGCATCTTCTGTTCTGCTGCACTGATCCATATGTCCGTTTTTATGCCAGTACCATTCTTTTTAATCACTGTAGCTTTGTAATATAACTTCAAGCCCAGGATTGTGGTGATTCCCACTCTGCTCTTGTTGCCCAGGATTGCTTTTGCTCTTCATTTCAGCATTGTCCTCTTTAGTTCTGTGAGGAATGCTTTTGGTATTTTGATTGGGATTACATTAAATCTATATATTGGTTTTGGAAGTATGGTCATTTTGACAATGTTGGTTCTGCCTACCCAGGGAAAAGGATATATTTCCATTTTATGATGCCCTCTGTTCCAGTGTTCACCAGAAAAACAGATTTAATAAGATAAGTGATTTACAGGTTAGGCTTACAGTGGCTGCCTGTGGAGACAGGTGTGGAAGAGTGCGAAAGGGCTGTCCAGACCCTGGAGACCCAATGGATCCAGACGAAGACCTGGAGCTCTCTGTAGAGTCCTGTGTGAGTCTGTATTGGAAGTTGAAGGGTCTGCACTGGAAGCCAGAAGATGGACAAAAGGTGAAGACTGGAGCCCCCCAAAGGAACAGAAGCAAGTCTTCCTTCTTCTTTCTCCTCTGTGTTCCATCCAGGATATGTGCCGACTGTTTGGTACCACTCGCATCCAGGGTGGGTCTTCTGTCTTCAATAAATCCATCCAGTCACACCCAGAGCTGTGCGGGGCTAATCAGTCAGGTGTTTCTTACTCAAGCTGACGCAATGCTTGACTATCACAAGTCACCCCAGTCAACTCGACAACCAGACACATTTCCTTGAATCACCCTTAGTCTCTAGGTACAAAGACAAGTTCATACTTCTGCCTAACATGATACAGCTATCCTGCATACAAACGGAAATGCACTAAGAATGTACCAGACAGAAGGCAAGTTTTTCTTTGTGTGATGCTTACTCCTAACATTTCCTAACTTAAACATTATAGCACAGGTTTAACAATGCCTCAGAGCCAGTATTCAGTATGTCGACATTCTGCTACAGAGGAAGCACATTAACAGAATAGGAAAGAACATTTGGAATCAGAATCCTCACTTCCGTAACTAGTCACAGGGTCATAGCTATATTTATAACTACCTTCTTGTACTACTCCTTCTGTGTTCCCTTGCAAGCAACTTAGCAAGTCTTGTTTCTTTCCCTGGTGCAGAGACCCATACCTTTATTCCTGAAGTTTCTTGGCCATTTGTCATCCTGCTTGGATTGGTTGTTGTAGTTTCCTAATGACCTTAATAACGGGGCATAGTAATTCTAGAAAGCACACTGAAGTATCCCTTGTGCTTCAAATATTATTCCTTTCCTCCATTGTGGAATAACAGTCTGGGTCAGTCATCCCTGCCCACACCATGCCTCTCCTTTTAGTTTGTTTGCTCAGAGCCACGAGGAGCCCAAATGACCAGAGAGAAGGCTCAGAGTCCAGTGCCACGGAGCCATTGTTGTGCTGCCTGGTACAAGCCTTCCCTGCTCTGGAACTAAGACTTCTAGTCCAGCAGGACATAAGGCAAACATTGTGCCAGTGGATCACTAAAGGTAATGGTGAGCGGTGCCACTCCCACTTCCACCCCTGGCTTTCTGGATCCCTGAATCTTGCCTATGGGAGACACAGTAGCCTACAGTGGATGCTGATTCAAAGCGCACACAGCCTTCTGGTGAATCTTGTCTCAGCCCTGCAAGCCATTGCCACCTAGCTGGTGATGTGTCAGTCCAGCTGCTTCTAGATGGTGAGGCACATGGTAAGACCAGTGAATTTCATAAGCATGAGTCCACAGCCTCACTTCTTTGACCATAAAATGTGTTCCTTGCTCAGAGACAATGCTGTGCGGAATACCACGATGGTGGGTAAGGCATTTGCAAGTATGGCCACTTTGACATTATTGGTTCTGCCTGTCCAGGAACAAGGGCTATCTTTCCATTTTCGAATGCCCTCTATGACCTCCTCTTCCAGAGTACTGTTGTTTTCACTGTTTCACTTCCTTGTTTAGGTTAATTTCTAAGTCATTTTCTTGATGCAGCTGTGAATGGTATTATATTCCTAATGTCTTTCTTGGTGAGTTCATTATCGGTGTACAGGAACATTATTGACCTCCTCTTCCAGAGTACTGTTGTTTTCACTGTAGAGATCTTTCACTTCCCTGTTTAGGTTAATTTCTAAGTCATTTTCTTGATGCAGTTGTGAATGGTATTATATTCCTAATGTCTTTCTTGGTGAGTTCATTATCGGTGTACAGGAACATTATTAATTTTTGTCTGTTAATTTTATAACCTGCCACACTACTGAATTTTTTTGGTTTTTGAGACAGGGTCTCACAATGTAGTTGAGATTGACCTGGAACTCACTATGTAGCCCAGGCTGATCTCAAACTCACAATGATACTCCTGCCTCAGCCTCCCGAGTGCTGGGATTACAGGCGTGCGCCACAATGCCTGGCTACACACTACTAAATTTGGTTATTCTAGGATTCTGTTAGTGGAATTTTTGGGGTCTTCTACATAACAGATCAGTTAATCTGCAGATAACAATAATTTGACTTTTTCCTTTTTTATAGATCTCCCTTTTATTTATTCCTCTTAGCTGATTGCTCTGGCTAATGTTTCAAGTACTATATTAAACAGGAGTGGTGATGGTGGATATTTTTGTCTTGTTCCTGATTTTAAGGGGAAAACTTTCAGTTTTTCCTCATTTAATATGACATTGGCAGTAGGTTTGTCATAAATGGCTTTATTAGATTGAGATAAAGTACTTCTATACCTATTTTAAGGATTTTTTATTTTGAATGGATATTGGATTTTATCAAAGGTTTTTGTGCATGTATTGAGATGAGCATACAATATTTGTCCTTCTTGTGTGATGTATTATATTTATTTATTTACATATGTTGAATTATTCTTTCACTCCTGGCTACTTGGTCATAATGTAGGACTTTTGTTTATCATTTGTTGCATTCTGTTTATCAGCAGCTTGCTAAGAATTTTTGCGTCTATGTTCATTAAACAGGTGGGATTGTAGTTTTCTGTTTTGGTGGAGCCCTTGTTTGGCTTTGGAGTCAGGGTAATGGTGGCTTCCAAGAATGACTTTTGAAGTCCTTCCTTTTTGATTTCATTAAAGACTCTGGGGAGTATTGGGTTAGACTTTGTCTGCAGTTCTTGCAGAATTCAGCAGTGAATCCCCTGGGATCTGGGCTTTTCTTACTTGCTAGGCTTTTTATTACTGCTTCAATTTCACATGTTACAGGATTATTCAGGGTTTTATAGCTTCTTGGTTCAGCTTTAGTAATTCATTTATATTTAAGAATATATCTATTTATTCTGGATTCTCCAACTTATTGGAGTATAGTTCTTCAAAGTAATTACTAATAATATTTTGGATTTCAATGGTGTCCACTGTGATTTTGCCTTTTTCATTTTTGATTGCACTAATTTGAGTCTTTTCTTTTCCTTTGTTGGTAAGATTTGCTAAGGTTTCTCTATTTGGTTATTCTTTTGAAGAACCAGGTTGTCATTTCACTGATTTTTTTTTTGTCTCAATTTCATTAATTTCTGCTCTGAGCTTTATAATGTCCTTTTACTATCTTTGGATTTGGATTGTTTTTGGTTTCCTAGGACCTTGAGGTAAGGAATACCATTATTTATTTTGGCTCTTCCTCTTTTTCTGATGTAATGTGTGATAAGCGAGTCCAAGGGCCAGCCCAGGAGGGCGCTGTGGTGAGCAGAGCCAGATTCTGCAGAGGCCAAGAAGAACAAGGGCATGGATGTGCCTTCAGACTTGGGGTGAAAGTACTTATCTGTGGAGGTTTGACAGAGCTGTGTCAAAAGAATGGTAACTTTACCTGCTTTTAGGATAAAAGACGTATCCATTGGCACAGCTTATATGCAGAGTGAGTCCCCTTTCTTTTATGCTTGAGAGAAACCAGTTTAGGTTTGCTGCTCTGCATATAAGCTGTGCCCCACTTCACTCTCAAAAGTGTCATGATTTGGACAATCACCTACGTGTCTCTCAGGCTGCTCATGAAGTGGTATCAGATTATCCCTCCCAACTTGCTTCTCTCATGGCTGATCTCTTGATCTCATTATAAACTCTTCATTAAAACCTGCCATGTGTCCTGTGGCCTCACAGCCTTGCACTTGCCACACCTATGCTTGCAGTCCTGTGGTTCCCTCTCCTCAAAGGTTAATTCCTGCTAGTTCTTTAGTTATTGCTATGGATTTCATGTCCCCCTATTCATATGTTGAAGTCCTAATCTCTACTCCCTCAAAATGTGACCTTATTTGGAAAGAAGGTCTTCACAGAGGCAAGTGAGTTAAAATGAGGTCATTGGGTTGGGTCCTGATCCAATGTGACTTTGACTGGGTAAGAAGGGGACATTAGGAGATAGACAGAAACAGGGAGACTTGGGTGATATTTCTATAGCCCATGGGACATCAGAGATTGCCTCTAAAAACACAGTAGAAGCTTAGTACTGGCACGGAACAGATCTCTCAGCTCTCAGGAGGAACCAACACTGCCAAGATTTTGATCTTGGAATTCCAGTCTCCAGAACTGGAGATGACAGATTTCTGTTGTTTAAGTCACCGCCTTTGTGATATTTTGTCATAACAGGTGGTGATGGTAAGCTTTTCATTGTGAGGACAATACCTGACATACACAACTTAAAGTACAGAGGGTTCATTGTAGCTCATAGTTTCAGAGATTTAAGTCTGTGGTCTGCTGGCTCTGAGGCAGAAACATCATGGCAGGAGGGCGTGGTGGGTAATAGCAGCTAAGCTTGTGGCAACCAGGAAGCAGAGGAAGAGACAGAGGGGCAGGGATCAGAAGTCAGACGTGGTGCGGAAGTCACGCTCCCATGACCCACTCTGGTATACCCAGAGGTGTGCTTTAGTAATATCACAGGCTTCTCTCCAGCTGATTAAGTTCACCATGAAGATGAACCATCACATAGGCCCTCGCAAACTGAGACAGGGAGCGACTGACTTATGCACTGTGCCCCTCCTCAGGAAGCCTTCCTGACCATTCCTCTCCACTCTCAGGATAGGTGAGGTGCTCGACTAACACACTGCTCCCTTTGTACCACAGGTCATCAGAAACTAGGCAACAGCTCAGATTCCACCGATCAAACCCTATTCAGCAATTTACCAGCTATGTAAATTTAGGCAAAGAGCTCACAAGAAGAGCAACAAAAACGAAAAAATCAAACAGAAAACTGGAGTTGGCTCCATTTGTCATTTGTCACAATGAGATAGCATTTTTCAATAAACCTCAGTAAACAAACCAAACCTTGTTTTGACTCCTGACACTCCTGAGGAATGTGATTTTGTTATCATAGTATACTGATTAATAACTGCAGGCAAGCAAGACTTTGTAGGTTAGAGTTTAACTCTGGAATAGACATAATGCTATGATTGGATCGGCTGGTAGAATAGCTCAAATTAAGGTACTGTGGTGATAGAGACTTCTGGAAATTTAACCTTGTATCCAACCTAGAAATCCTATTTAGCCATTCTTTTTTTCTAACTCTGTGTGTGTGTGTGTGTGTGTGTGTGTGTGTGTGTTCTTTAAGCACTCAGGTACAGCTGTGTTACAAAAGTGTCCCCCTCCCAATTTATACTTTCCCTTAATAAACTAAATTTCCTCCAAAGAGTTGCTATCAAAGATCGAATAGTGAATACAGCCATGAAGTTGCCCACATGAACTGACCCAGCCCAGACCGAGAATGTGTCCATTCCACAGGTAATTTCCAACAAAGCTGGCAAATGTAGTACAATATTCCACTCTCTGAACATAGAATTGTTCTAATGTCTCCAAAAACAGTGAATTCAAACTGAGCTCTAATATAGAGACCATTTTAATTTCAACATTAGTAGAAAACCCGTAAACAACTCAAAGGTATCATTTATCTTAAGAAAAGATGGACCTTTTTGTAAGTATTTACTTGACAAAGGAAATATTCATTAAAATAGAAAGACAATAGTTTAACTCTCATATAGTTTTGCACTGCCAAATTTTAGGCCTAAACATAACTCCTATAGTAAACCTTGTGATTAAGATTTGTGTGCTGGAGGCCAGGTATTTAGCTCAGTGGTTCCGTCGCCTGCCTTGCAAACACAAGGACCCGAGTTCGATCCCTGGTACACACACCCCCGCCAAAAAGGCAGTCGAAAGATTTCCACTTTTCCCATTGCAGATTTTCATACATATTTCCTTTCACAAACATTCAGAGGGATAAGAATCAAATGTAACACAGTGAGAGGAATTCTGCAGGAGGCTGAAACTTACCAGAGGGCCAATTCAAATTCCGGGAGAGAGGAGTAACTAGCCAGGTAGGTGCCACAGTAGCTGAACGAAAGTAACGTGTAGTCCAGGAGAACATTGCCTAAAATATAAAGCCCATTACAAGGACTTGATTATCATGTTCTGCTTAATTATACTCTCACAGTTTATTTCCCTTTTGTAGTGACTGTCACATAATTCTGAAGTATTTATCTATTGAAGTAAAAGATCTTCTCAGACAATGAATAGAAAACTGCATTAAGAGCAAAGCTAGGATCCACTACAAAACATACTGGAGGGAATTAATACCACTATGTCAATGTCTCTAGACTTCAGTGCAGAACCAAGCACAATGTACTGTAAATGTCCTGACAAGGTATGAAATGACCCTAAAACCATAAAGTATCTCACATCTCATCACTATACGAGTGAGCAGAATTAGAACGCTAGTTCAGACTTTACCTTGGGGAATTGCAATTATCCTTCCAGCCACTTTTGGCCTTCAGTTTAACAGTTCCCAACTCTTACAACAGGTTTAAGAAGCTATATTGGCATTTGTACCCTGAGCCGAAGAAATGCAACTTGATTTTAAAAGCAAGCCTAGCAACGTCTTTAAAACGTGTAGCCACAGTGCTAGGGATGAAGCTTGGTGGCAGCCTGCCTAGTCTGCCTGTGGCCCTGGGTTCGACTCCTAGCAAAGAAAGAGAGGAGGGAGGAGCAGAAGGAAAGAAAGTGTCCTGGGGACTCTGAAACAGCGGCAGGGCAATGTTTGCCCCGCTGCCCAGGTTTGGGGTCTGGCTTCCTTTCCTTTTGCCTTTTGCCTTCATCTGGGTCTGCCTTTCTCTTCATGTCTTTATGGCTTGTTTATGACTTTTAATTGTTCTTTCCTGCTTTTACCCGACCGTAATATAATCTTAAATTAATAATCTTAAGATAATCTTGATTTTCTCATTTGTTTAGCATAGTCTAATCAACAATATGCACTTAAAAATGATTTTTCTGCGGGATGAGGCCTTCATAAAATGATTTTCTATCCTTATTACACAGATACTTTCCCCACATTTGGATACTATTGATTCTATGTATTTTTAAATTAAAAAATGTTTTTAGAGGAAAATATATTTAAAATGTAAGAAAAAAATATAGCTTTTGTGATTCTACTACCAAATTTGGCAAATTTATTCCTGCAATCTTCCTCTTCTTTTCCTCCTCCTCCTCTTCTTCTTGAGACAGGGTCTTGTGGCTCGGGCTAAACTTGAACTCACTATGTAGCCCAGTCTGGCCTTAAACTCACAGCGATCCTCCTGCCTCAGCCTCCCAAGTGACGGGATTATAGGCAGGTGCCACCATGCCCAGCTGAAATGGGACTTCTTTCGATGTCTTTGGTCATGAATGATTTTGTGGCTTGACTGAACAAGTTCTTTTTGCATTGTTCCAGAAGACATTTGTCTTTCTTTCTTATTGTTTCATAAATGCTCTGAAAATATTTGATTATATTTGTTCCAAAGATTTCCCTCAGTTCTATATTTGCCTTTTAACGTTCCATGGTATATTTTTATGTTCCTCAGCTTTATTTATTTATTTGGTTTTTTTGAGACAGGGTCTCATTATGTAGTTGAGTCTGACCTGGAACTCACTATGTAGCCCAGGCTGGTCTCGAATTCACATACTCCTGCTTCAGCCTCCCGAGTGCTGGGATTACAGGCATGTGTCACGATGCCCAGCTATGTTCCCCAGTTTTAAATGTGTATGTAATTAAATATATCAGTCCTTTAATTTTTAATTTTTTGTGTGGAATTTTTTTCCCTATCCTGAAGTTATTTCAATATTCCACCCTATTTTCTTCTGCTTTTCAAATGTGCTTATTTATACTGAATGCTTATTTTCATGTAGTATATGTTTTGATGTGCAGTGTAATATGAGTTTCTAACTTGGTACTCTTGTTGTTCAAATATTTGGTTTTCTTATCATTATTGTAGGAGAATTTCTTTCATGATACACTTGGCTGTTCCAGATCCTGTCCCTGTCCCTGATTTGGAAATCACCAATGTGGACCCAACACCACATGCTGAATTACTACAGCACCGTGACATTCTGAAGGGCCTCTGCCTTGCCACCCGCTCCTTTAAATTATACTCTACTTTCTCCCTTCCCAGATGACCATGTAATCATGTTAGTACTCCTGGAACTTTAAAACACAATAAACCTATGGTAAATACTAGAAAGAACACTTACTGATAATAGTCAGGCTTTCCATCCAGGAATGTCCCTGTGGAGCCCAATCATTTAAATCAGTGGTTTTCTTATTTTCTTCATCCAGGTCACTCATATGTGTTGGATTATTTCTAAGTATTTACATTTTTGCTGTTGTTGTTTTCTGGTACTGGGGATCGAACTCAGGACCTTGAGCTTGTGAGGCAGGTGTGCCATCACTGAGCTAAACTCCCAGCCCTAAGTATTTAAATTTCCTACTTGCATGGGTATTTGTTTTGAAACTTGCATCTTACTGAGCATTCTTTTGTTAGTTCTAGTAGACTATGCATCACCCATCATCTCCTTTGCAATTGCTCTAATTGTTTTTTGATTATCGCTTTTGTTGCTGTGGCAACAAAAATTTAATATCAGGTTGATATTAAATAACTGGTAAAACAGGCATGCTTGACAGTTTGCTCTTAATTTGACTGTAAATTCTTTTAAGGGTTTCAATATTCACCATGGATGCTGGCTGCTGGTTTGAATTAATCCCTGCAGGACAACAGCCAAATAACTAAGCCTGGGACACTTTAACAATGAAGGATGGTTACAGTCCATATTGCTCGCAGCATACAAATGGGTTATGCTTTATAAATTGCCTTAATCTTTTGAGAACAAAAGACACTTTTCCCCACAAATAAAATGCTATAAATTCCCAGCATTCTCTGACTTCACTCATGTGCTTTTCTTAATCCACAAGGCTCCATCCAGAACTAAGACCGGCCTCCAGCACAAGCCTCCCATCCCTGGTGTTTTAGAGAGGCCCCACAAGGCTTGCAGTAGCCCATCCGGTATCTGCTACACCCACGAACCAGGTGTGTGCACCTGGCAGGTGTGTGCGGGTACTCAGATAGCACCTTTATCCCCGTGCCGTGGGTGGGAAAGTGAGGCTCAGAGACTTGTCTTTATGAGTTATACGAGCATCAATTCACCTGGGTTTTCAAGAAATCATTAGGAAAGAAAATATCATTCTGAAAAAGCTCAGTCTTCTGGCCCTACGCTTCTCAAAGTTCAACGTGCACAAGAATCTCCTCAACCACCCTGGAAGTCTTGCTAAAATACAGATTCTGGCGCAGGAGGCCTGGGGTGGGAGGCAGTCTGCATGGTTAAAGCAGCTTCCCAGGTGGCGCCAATGTTGGTGGCAGGCAGACCATTCTGAGTATAAGGGCTGACTTGCTCTTTAGTGATCTGCTTGATTCTATTTTAAACAAAAACCTTCAAAATGCAAACCACCTTCATGTATAAGAACTAGATTTGGTCAAATCTTATAGTGAAATCCTTCATTTTGGGGCAGAGGAAGTGGCCCGGAATACCTTTTAATTTGGTCCTTCTGGTCAGTGCAGGAAAGTTGTATATGTGGATGAGGGGTTTCAGCCTCCGGTCGGAAAAAGCCACAACTTCATAAGGAATGTTAGTTGCCATGACTCCCACATTTCCATTAATACACTGGAGTACCGTCTTCTGCTTGGTTTCGATATTAATAAATATGACATAATTTCCAGAAGGGTAGCAAATGGTGTTGTCGTTGACAAAGTGAACATTCTGCTTAGGGAATCCTTGCACCCATCTTTGGGAAAAGATACAGAGCCATCAATATAATACAATATAATTTGAAATACTTTTTTTTCTTTAACAGAGCAAACAAAAAGTTATCAAAACACATCTATTCTGTTTCACTTCCTCTCTGCCCCAAACAATCCCCAAGATAAAAGGACCACATCTGCTGGATGCAAGACCAGTTTGAGTCAATGAAAAACAAAAATTTAAAAGTGGACTCTAAGGTGCAGGGGTCCTACGGGTCTCACACCACAGTAAAGAAAACTGACCAAACCTGAGAAACTCTCAAAAGGACTTCCAGGGTCTTGTATACTTGGAAGGGAAAAAGTGAAAACAACTAAGAGCAAAATGAGCTTCATTCTAATGGAAAACAGGCTTCATCCTGGGCCCTTCTTTTATAATTAGTTTTTATTTTAAAAATAAACCTTAAAAAACAAATTTGACCTTCAGCTCCTTTCTTCCCATTTCTAAACGTCAGTAATCTTATTAGGATCTTATGTATTATTGCAGATTATTCACACCAGGGAAACTATTCGGTATTTACACATGTGTGACTTATTTACTGTAGGGAAGGTGGGATGGGTAGGGGAAGGGTAATAAGGGAAAAGAAAAAAATGTGAGATAATGAAAAGATGAAAATAAAGTGTTTGTAGATGGGGAGGGGAGGAGGGGGTGAAGGGAGGGCAGGGGTAAAGGGAAAAAATGAGAATCAAGACTTGTCATGTAGAGGTACAAGATCCCAACAAT